GATGACTAATGTGAATATCAATAAAAATTAATGATTTAAGAGCTAAAGTAATAGGAAAAATAGCTAAATACAAACAACATTAGCTTTATTTAAAACCCAAATGGTTAAAGTAGCTCACCAGATAGAAAGCTGCTGAGCTCCTGGACATTCATCTGTTGCAATTAACCAAGTGGTGTTGATAATTGCTGAGGCCGAGATGCTAGCATTTTTATTGCATTCTGCTACTGAGCTGCAAACTGTAGTAATATAACATTGTGTCTTTTGAGCCATGTCTGTTACCTGACATGTTATACTTACATCCACTTTCTATGCCAAATGAGTGCTATTTTCTACATTGTAATCCTATTTATCTTGCACATTGCTACAATGTTTCTCTGCTTTCTTTTTTTTTTTTCCTCTCCTTCCTCCTCTGTCATACACACTGTCAGGATGATAACTCTATATTGACACTTTGCAGATGTCTTGCCCCTGCTCAAAAAACTGATGTCTAATTATCTATTAAGTCCACACCATGTAAGTTGGCTCTTTCAGCAGAGAAGTGATGATCACCATGAATAGCAAGACAAACTTCCATCACTGGAAATATCAGAAGGATGTGTGCCTCTAAAAAGGGCACCAGAGCTGCTGATCACTTTCCCACCATTCTTTCCTCACAGCGCCCATCTATCCTGCTCAGGGACCCTAGACTGACAAGCCAAATTCTGCCACCACTGACACCCTGGGGGGAGCCACTGCCACTCTCACTGGGGCCAGTATAGGGACAAGGAGTTCCTTGGGTGACATGTGAGGGTGTACCACCTAATGTGCCCCATGGCCCTGGCACTTCATTCAGGTGAGGATCCAAAGTTTTTCTGTAACAGAAGGGCCTTAGGACCTCTCCAGCACCTTTTCCAGTCAGCCCTCTGGCTCCTGCCCATCCTTGGAGTTGCCAGGCACAACCCTGCCTCAAGACTTTGCCCTGGCTGTTCCCTCTGCTTGGAAAGATTTACACCCAGAAACCCACAGGGCTAACTCCTTCCTTCCTTTACAACTGTCGGAATCTCATCTTCCCACTGAGGCCTATCTTGACATCCATCTGCCTTCCTAACCCCTCTGACCTCCCTGTACCTGGCTCTGTTCCCATAATGGTATCTAGTTTTCTGATATCCTCTATCATTCTGTTATTTATTTGGTGCATCGTCTGTGTCACCCTGTCTTTCACTTTCTCTCTTTTTTCTAATAAGGGATTCTGAGCTCAGGGGATGATGCTTGGCACACAGTAGGTCCTCGATAACTATTGTCTGATGGTGAATGAATGAATAAATGATTGGTTACATTTTTCATGCATAACAAATGAGTGTCAAGTTGTGTTAGATGGAACACCAGGGAATTCTTGACAAAGATGGAGAGATGGGAGCTATCACCCCTTCCCTCCCAGCAGAGGGCCTGATGCCTTGCCATAGAGTCCCCCTCCCCTGAACTGTGCCCAGTTTAAGTGCTGCCATCAAAGCCACACTGCATATATCTATGATGCTTCCAAAGGCATTGAATCAATGCTGTGATTACACCAAAGTTTCCAGAGCACAACTTCTGGGGAGAAAGTGCAAAAGAGAAAGACCTCGAGCCCATAGGGACTGCAGAGAGAGAGGCAGCTGTGAGTGCCTGGTCCCAGCTGAGTTCCACCCACTGTGGTGCTGCAGGGAACATTCTCATATGCAAGCAAAAGACTCTCTCCAGCTGACTGAAGCAGGAAAGAAATTTTCCACAAGGAAATCCTTGGATTTGGACTTAGGAAAAGGGCACAAAAGACCTGAAGATGACCTAACTTGAGCCTCTGTAGAAGCCATGCCATAGGGCACTGGATTCCTGGGGTCCTAGTGCCCCTGCCAGCAGCTGCTTCTGTTCCCCAAACCTGGATGATGCTGCCATCCCCACTGATCAGAGCATCCTGGCTCCCCCCTGGCATCATGATTCTGGCTCAAAACCTGAAAGTGGAGGGCCGGGGATTTAGCTCAGTGGTTCCGGTGCCTGCCTCACAACCACAAGGTCCCGAGTTCGATCACTGGTACCAAAAAAACCCAAAAACCTGGAAGTGGGTCATCTTAGCTTCCTGTCCTTGGATGGCACAAGAAGCTGGGATGGCGAGTGTCCGACCCTTTTTGACTCCCACAGAGAGGATTTTCCAAATGAAAACAAAAAGGATTTAGAAGTCAGGAAGAGAAAAAAACACCTAAAAATAAAATACCAAATCCCAACATAACAGATATCTGTGACAAAGTTTCTGTTACGAAAATCAAACAACTCCTGTCTGCAATAAAAACAAAATTTGGTTGGCTTTAAAGGGTAATCATCAGGGAAGGAACCTTGAAGAAAAAAGTCCACTACTTACAGGGCAGTACTTTTCCTGTCACTTGCCAGTGGACCCTGGCATCTCCCCAGGAATTAGAGGTGGCTCTGGGCTGGAGGAACTTCATGGGCATTGTGGCTGGAGGCAGGCTGGACTTGGGGCAGGGAGGGGCAGGCCTGACCGGGTTGGCTCTGGTCTCAGGTTTTTGCACAGGCCTTCCTGCTTTGTCACTTCTTCAGTCTACACTGTGCCCAGCTCCACTCCAATGGTCTCGACCTTTGGGATTTAGAGAAATATACAAAAGCCAGATTGAAAAGTTCTCTACCATGTTGATACAACAGGGATCTGCCTTTCTCTTCTTTTTACATCACAGTAGATGTAGAAAAAGATTATATTTGTGCTGAAATCAGGATCGTATATGTATGCATAGATATGCACATAGAAAAGATTTTCTTCTGTCCTAACAAGATGATGAATATGAATAAATGCTTAAAAGCCAATCTTTTTTCCATTAAGTTTACTGGTACATTTTAGGTATACAATAGTTACATTCATCATTGGGATCTTATTTAAAAGCCAATCTTGTTATCTCAAATAGTGATAATTTAACTTCTTCCTTTTCTATATGTATCCCTTTTATTTCTCTCTCTTCTTTCCTGAGTGCTCTTGATTGCTCCTATGTTGAACAGGAGTGATGATAAGGGACATCTTTGTCAGTTCCTAATTTTAGATGGAAAGCCTTCAGTTTTTCCCCATTTAATATGATGTCATAAATTCATCATAAATGGATTTTATCCAATTGAGATAAGATCCTCTGTACCTATTTTCTTCAGGGTTTTTAACATGAATGGATGTTGGAGTTTTTCAAAGGCTTTTTCTGCATCTATTGAGATGGTCATGTGATTTTTGTTCTTGCTTTTATTTATATGATGTATTATAGCTATTGATTTGCAAATATTGAATCATCCTTGCATCCCTGGAATGAAGCTTACTTGGTCATGGTATATGGTCTTTTTGATGATTTGTTGCACTCTGTTTGCCAATATCTTGTTGAAGATTTTTCCATCTATGTTCATTAAAGAGATTGGTCTGTAGGAGCTGGGGATTTAGCTCAGTGGTTCTGCTGCCTGCCTTGCAAGCACAAGGACCTGAGTTCAGTCCCCAGTACCAAAACAAAAAAAAACGAACAAAGAGATTGGTCTCTAGTTTTCTTATATAATGGAGTCCTTGTCTGGTTTTGGAATCAAGGTAATGCTAGTTTCCAGAAATGAGTTTGAAAATATTCCTTCTGGTATTATCATTTGATTCTAGGAGTTGTTTAATTTCTTTTATTTCTTCTGTAACCCACTAAGTATTCAAGAGTGAGTTATTCAATGTCCAGTTGTTAGTGAAATTTCTGTGGTTTCTTTTGCAATTGATGTCTAGTTTCAGTATGATCTAATAGAATACATGAGATAATTTCAATTTCACAGATATTTATTAAAGCAGATTTATGAACTTATCTGTGGTCTATTTTTGAGAAAGTTCAATGTGCTGCTGAGAAGAATGTGTATTCTGTTGTAGTAGGGTAGAACACTCTGTAGATATGATCCTTTACATAGAAGGCCCAAAAAATGTCATCAAAACACTCCTAGAAATAATAACCAAATTCAGCAATGTAGCAGGATACAAAATCATCACACAAATGTCACCTCACCCCAGTTAAAATCGCCATCATTAAAAAGATAAAAGTTAACAGGTGCTGGTGAGGTTGTGCAGAAAAGGAGACCTTTGTACACTGTTCAGGGGAGATATAAATTAATAGCATTATTATGGCAAATAGTATGGAGGTTCATCATAAAGTTGAAAATGGAACTGCCATGTGATCCAGCAATACTACTACTGAGTATATATCCAAAGGAAGGAAATCAGTATGTGAAGAGACACCTGCCTTCCCATGCCTATTGCAGCACTGTTCACAACAACCAGGAAATGGAAACAGCCTATGTGTCCAACTGGTGAGTGGATAAAGAAATGTGGTACATATATACCACGGAATGCTACTGAGCCACAGAGCAGAAGGAAACCCTGTCATTTGTGACAATAAAGAGGGAACTGGAGATTGTTATGTTAAGTGAATAAGCCAGGTACTTACAACTACCACATGATCACAATCATGTGTGAAATACAAAAAAAGTTGACTTCCTAAAAGTTGAGAGTGAATGGTGTTTATCAGAGGCTGTGGGAATAGGAGGGAGAAGAAAGAATGAGAAGAGTTTGACCAGTGGTTACTAAGTTACAGTTAGATAGGACAAGATGTTCTGGCACCCATTGTACAGTAGGGTGAGTACTGATGCACTGTATTTTTCAAAAAACTAGAAGAAAGGAGTTGAATGTTTTAAACTAAAGAAATGATAAACTTTTGAGGAGATAGATTACACAATGTATACATGTATCAAAATATCACACAATATCTCATTAATATGTATAATTTTTATATTTTATGTATGAGTTAAAAATAAATTTAAAGGCCCAGGGATGTAGCTCAGTAGCTCTGCACCTGCCTGACAAACACAAAGTCCTGAGTTAGATCCTCAGTACTGAAAAAAAATTTTTTTAATAAATAAATTTAAAGAGCCAGGTGTGGTGGTGCACAATCTGGGGGCTGAGGAAGGAGAATCACCATGAATTCAAGGCCTACCTGAACTACATAGCAAGACCCTATTTCAAAAAAAATATTTTAAAGATGACAAAAGGTTAGTTTCCTCAACCTAGATGGAGCTTCTACAAATTAATAGACTACAACACACTATACATAAAGGACAATTAATATAATATAAAAGGATATCCAATGATTTTTCCAATCATATGAGAAGATAGTCAATGGCAATTATGAAAGAAATGCAGATTTGGGCCAGGGATTTTAGCTCAGTGGTTCTGCCACCTGCCTCATAAGTGCAAGGTCCGAGTTCGATTGCTGGTACCAAAAAAAAAGAAATGCAGAGTTAGCGGAGGCAGGAGGGTAGTGAGTTTGAGAGCAGCCTGGACAACTATTAATGAGACCCTGTTCTCACATCAAATTTAAAAAAGCCTAGGGGTATAGTTCAGTGGTAGAGTATCCTTGGATTCAATCCCTAGTAATCCCTCCTCAAAAAAAGAAGACTGACAAAAATGATAAAAAAAAATTGATGCTGGGTTAATTGGAGAAGGTGTGAGGAAACAGACCTCTATTATATTATTGGTGAAAGTATAATTGCTTTAAGTTCTGAGGAAGACAGTTGACAATATTTACCAAAATCTCGCAAACCTGATCTAGCAGTTTCTTCTAGGAACATATCCTATTCAGAGACTGTTCAGAGGTGCAAACATACCAACTGTGGCGTTGTTAGTAATGACAAGTCATAAACAAAAGACGTATCAGTTACAACAACATTCCAAACTCAGTGGCTTTAGTAATCATATATAGTTGCTTTCCAGACTAGGGACCAACTGAATGATTCTTCAGTGTCACCTTGCCTCAGCTGTAGATCAGGTAGGAACTCTGCTTCTGCCTGTTGTTTGAAGTGGCGAAGATGGCTGGGTCATGAATCCTTCATCATCCAGCAGGCTGGCCTGGGCTTGTCCACGTGGTGATCAGAGGAGGGTGAACTGTGCATGGCCTCCTGTGGTGAGCAGTCTGTGCCCTGCCCAGAGTGACTCCCCATGGTATAGAACAGTGGCTTTGAAGCTGCATCCTGCCCACTAGAATCCTCATGGCACAGACAGTGGCTTTTAGACTGTGCTTTACTGAGTGGTTCCTTTTGTAAAGTAGCAGTTTTCTCCATTTTGAGTGTAGATGCTGGGGCAGAATGACTTGGTGACTTTTCTGTACAAATAGACAATCACCAAACTTATCAAAAAGAACAACCCTAAATGCACAACACAACCATAAGACACAAACCAATACATTAATAAATTCTGCTAATATAAATTACTATCCATGAGCTTATCAAATTAAATTAGGAGTGTAGGGATGCCTGACACATCAAATCATATCACAGAAAACTAGGCCATGAGCTCACTGAACTGTATAAAGAAGGGGAAACCAAAGAAGCGATAGATGTCTGGAGGTGACATCCACCTATCTGTCATCTTATCAGACTGCCTGGCAAAACTGTCATAAGGTCTATGAGCTCCAGCTCAGACCCTAGGCTTCAGCTCAGCCATATCTCCCTGTTCACCTCTGGCCTTCAACATGAAGAATGCGTCTAACAGCTCTGTTTAGTTAGCGTTCTTACCTGCCCAGCTACAGTGACTGTTTACATCTCCATTGGCTCACAGCCTTTACTTTCAGTTCAGCATCTTTGAACCTAAGGCCACTGTTAACCCCTCTTAGACACCCTGTAACCTATATATACTACTGTGTGAAGTGTGAAGTGTGATGTGTGACTTGCATGTTATAGATGTTAGTACTGTACTTAAAATTGGAATGAAAGAACGTGTGATTGCCCTGCTCATGGCTATCAAGTGAAACCAGGCTGCTTAGGGACCTGACAAAATTTGTGAAGTCATCGTTATTCAATAAATTCTGACACTGTAGAAGGACCCAAATATATCCAGTCTATGTTAATGGCATGTGTCCTAATTTTGGGCTAGCACAGTGCCATTTCTGCTGCATTCAGTGGACCAAAGTATGCCACGGGGCCAGCTGGGATACAAGAGGTCTTGAAACTCTACCTCTTAATCAGAAGAACTAAAAGCACATTGCCAACGGGCATGGATAAAGGGAAAAGTGAAGGATCATGGTCATTTTTGTGACTATAACAAATACAGATATCCACCCAAATAAAGAAAGTGGAACTTGGGCCGGGGATTTAGCTCAGTGGTTCTGTCGCCTGCCTTGCAAGCACAAGGTCCTGAGTTTGATCCCCGGTACCAAAAAAAAAGAAAGTGGAACTCTATGCCACGTATTTGTTGTTGTTGTTGTTGTTGTTGTTGCTGTTGTTTGAAATAGTCTCACAATGTATTTCAGGCTGACCTTAATCTCACTATGTAGCCTAGGCTGGCCTCAAACTTTCAGTGATCCTCCAGCCTCAGCCTCCTGAGTACTAAGATTTTAGGTGTACCACCACACCTGGCATATGCAATATTTTTTAAAAATCTGTATAATTTGAGAAGAAAAATTCTTCAAGATTTATTCTTAAATGAAAGAAAAGTGTAGTGTTGTCTACATAATACACTGAGGGTTGAACCCTAACCTCATGCATGCTACCACTGAGTGCTTCCTCAGCCCAAGTCTGCTGCAGCAGCTTTAAATGTGCATATATATATATATATATAATATATATATATAATATATATATATTCATTCTTATTTGTAGTAAGCATGATAGGGAAAAGTTTTAGGTAACTTAATAGATTGAATATTAAGGTAGTCGTAGAAGCAAAATAAGTAATGTGTTCTTTTAAGATTTGCTTTTCCCCTAACTCCTTATTTAAGGTGCCAGTTATCTGACTCTTTAACCACTAACTTCATTAACCTAACAAAGTTGCAATGCCTGGGTGAATTTACAATGTATGTGGCCTATCTTGTGTCTGTGACTTATAAATAGGAACTAGAATTGTATTTACACATCAAAGACCACTAGGGATGAGATAATGGCTAAAAAGGATATAAAAAGGGAAACGCTGAACAAAGGGTGCACGGATAGTAGCCAGACCTGTTTCTGGCATTCCTGCCCGCTTGCAAGAAGAAATTTTATTATTTTATCCGAATTCTGTGTCTCCTTGTATTTCTTCCGAGATTTCTGCACCAAACACGCACCTGTGGAAGGACATAGGAGTGACTGCATCAGAACAGGGGAATTTGGGAACTGTGATCATAGGTTGGAAGCTACTTTTTATGCTATATTCCTTTGTAGTTATTTTTCTCTAATTTCAAAACATACACAGTAAAATTTACTTATTTTTTCCTTTTGGTGTACAGTGCTACAAATTTTAATAAATGTGAAATGGCCTAGTCACCACTATAATTAAAATATAGAACAGTTACATCACCCCCCAAAACTCCCCTGTCCTATTCCTTATATTTCCACCTTCCTTTCCATCCTAAGCCTTGACAACCACTGGTCTGTTCTTCATTGCTATGATTTTTGTCTGCCTTAGTTTGACTTTTTATTTTTTGTTTTAAAATTTGTGAACATGTATGATCACTTAAGAATAGAGAAATTCTGTTTTAAAAGTCAAATAATATATTTAAAACCTTAGGTTTAAGTAATTTTTCTTTTCTTTTCTTTTTTTTTTTTGGTACCGGAGATCGAACTCAGGACCTTGCGCTTCCAAGGCAGGCGACAGAACCACTGAGCTAAATCCCCAGCCTGGCTTAAGTAATTTTTTTTAAAAAATGAGAAAGCTTAAATTGTCATATTAGATGAGTAATTTTAATTTTTAATTCTAACCAGAAATTCATTTTTCACTGGCTTGATTTTTGAGTGCAAAAGGCTGTTACTTACATTTTCTCAAATAGAAAATAGAACATGAACTTTGTGTAAAATCATAATACCACAATATATTATGTATTTGTTCAAATAAAATGTAGGCATTGATGGCTGCTCCTGATGGCTGCACTTGAGGTAGGGGATGGATGGAATATTGTTACACTATGAAAAATGGCTTCAAACCCAGACCAAGAGTAAATCCTTGGTGATGAGTCAGGTGACCTGGCTCCCTACTTACTCCTGCTCCCACTTACATCTGCTCCCTCACAATTGCAATTTACTATTTACCTTCCTAGAGTGCTGTAAAGATCAAACAGGATAATGCAGGAAATACAGTTGTGGCCCTGCCTAGTACACAGCAAGTATTGTAGAAGTTATCAGCTTTAACACATTATCATTTGTATGTGGACGGTCTTTGATCTTATTTAAAACAAATACTTTTATAATAGTGTTCATATGGGTGAAATACAATAATGTTAATGATGATTCACCCTCTCCTCAGCACAGGTGGATTCTGGCTACCATTGCTCATCTCTAACATGAATTTGTATGAAATAGAAGGAATTTAGAGTTGCTCAAAAACACTCCTGGGGCAAGCCTGGGGTCCATACAGGGTGGAAGAGCTTGTGCCTGTGACGATGGGGTCCCTAGTCCCTTGGGGCATCAGAAGCAGTGTGGAGCTGCTTGGAGAGCAGGGGAACTAGGGGGTGCTGGCAGCTGTGGTTTGGGTCAGATAGTGCTGAAGAATCACTCGTGCTACCACCATCAGAACAGAGCATGAGTTGGAGGGAGGGGGAGAGCTGGAATAGAGAGAAGATCCAGGCAAGAGCCCTGGGATGCTTGGGCCCATTCGCTGGAGACTGTAGCCCCCTCCATGTAACAGTCTGAAACAGAAAGTGAGGATCTGGCTGTCACTGACATGGCCAGACATTCCCACAGCAGGGAAGACAGTCCAATCCATAGAGCTTCTTTCTCTCGTCTAGGTATGTGCAGGTGTTGGGGTACCTGCAGCTCTGGGCTAAGACCTCTCATACTCTCCTTCCATGGCCTCAGGGCTCTGAATACCATTGAGTTAAAGACCCTAAAATATAGGGGGCTTACCCCGCTGGGAACCTGACACTTCTGCAAGGATATCTAAAAGGCCTTTTCAACTTGATGAGAACTTGCATTGCTCCCCCTAGTGTTCCAACACCATGTTCTCAGCAGCACCACAGGTACACACCTGAGCTCAGGTCCAAATTCCCTGTAGTCCTTAAGCACATGTCACCAGACACCCATGAATCTCACTGCCATGTCCTCCAAACTCCACGCCTCCCTTCAAATTCTGTGTTCCTCACCTTCATCAGGGCTTTGAAGTGATGCAAAGCTTGCTGCTCCTCAAAGGACACGGTAGATCCCTAGCCAGCCTCCTATGCCCCTCTTACTCCCAGCAGCCAGGTAAATCTGAAAAAATTCAAAATAAGCCCCCAGGATGCAAGGTCCTCCCTCCAAGCTCCCCACCTCTCAGAGGCTCCATCACCTCCCAAAGACACCACCCTGGGTCTCAAGCCTTGGCCACCTGGGCTCTGGGGGACAGTCAAGATCCAAATGATGATACCCAGATTCTGAGTCTTTTGAAAGCCCCAGCAGTGATCCTAACATACCACAGGGCAGAGACTTGCTGTAACTAGGCAGGGACAGTGCAGCTCTCTACTGGAGTGCAAGTCTGTGAGAACGTGGCATCCCAAATAAAATTCTCAAGCCAGAGGTGCAGGCACTAAATACAGTACTGTCATTATAGTTCTACTAGAACATAATTCATCATCTAATCCTGTCTCCTTAGTTTGCAGAAGTGCAAATACTCCAAAGATGTGAGGATCTTGCCAAGGTCACCTGATTGTGCTCTTATCTCTAGAAGATTTGGGAGTTTCCTTGGGGTAATACCTTAAAGCAAGGCCCTGTGCCTTGGCAATAGCTGTCTCCTCCTCTAGACTGTCACAGCCCCAAGGAAAGTGGCCGTTCCAAAATGGTGTGGGACATGGCTGCCTGTGTTGTTGTGCCTCTCTTCCCCTCACTCCAAGACCCTGGTCACAGGTGACAGATACTATCCAGATCAGTCACTGGCTCTTCAGGACTCCTTCAGCTGCAATGAGATAACACAAAATTTGTCCCCTGATCAAAATGTTAGCTGCCCAAATCCAGAAAGGGGCACCCTAGACGCCACAAAAGAGGCCTGGAGGAGTGTGAGCACGAACACCGCTGGTGGAAAGGAAGTCCTGCTGCTGAGATGTGCACCTCTTTGTGCTAGTTTCAGCTCTTCCCTTTGTGCTCTCTCCAAAGGAGGCAAAGCCAAACATGTTTGTTCAGAAGCTAAATGCTGTCATACCAGAAATTCCACACCACAGGGCTTAGGGAACCTGGGACCTGTGATTTGTTTCCAAAGCAGCAGACTCATAAAAGCAGAGACTATGCAGAAACACACTGGTGTTTATAATAAGTGACAAGAGTGGGCCAGCCACTGCAGACCGCAGCAGGCAGGTATGAGGGCAAAGATTAAATCACAGGCTGAGAGCTGGAATTTACAGCAGGCATTTCTTTTCTAGTCCATTTAAAGCCTAGTGATAAAAGACAGGATTGATGGCTGAGGCCACACAGCTGGAGGCAAAGTGAGGGTGAAGATGGGAGAAATGGGGTAGCTGTTGCAGTTTCTCTGTCCAAGGTTTTCCTCACAAATACCATTTTCCTCTTTTTATTTTCAGCAATTCCCTATGAACTGTGTTTTACATGTAAACTATAGTACTCTCAGCTAGCAAGGGCTGCTGATAAACACTGCTAGGCTGCCCTTGTGACCAGGAGTCTCCTTAGCAAGCAGTCTCCAGTCCTGCTGGAGAAGGCCACCAGATCCCTGTCTCTAGTGAGGTTCTTCCCTATATGCCCTACCACGTGACCCACTCACCCTCTAGGGGAGGCAGGTCTCCCCTTGGTGATCCAGGAAACACCTTGTCCCACCACTCAAAGTCAGGGTTCACAGCAGCTTTGGTGAGGGCTGCCTGGTCTCTGCATGTGCGTGAAGCTGGAGGGGTCAAGATTCTGTCAGACTTAGAGCCCATCAGATGAAACCTGATTTTATTTTTATTTTTATTTTTATTTGGTTATTGAGATTGGTCTCACTGTGTTACACTGGCTGCCCTTGAACTTCTGGGCTCAGGTGATCCTGCACACCAGCATCCTGAGAAGCTTGACTGCAAGGGTGTACTACTTTAGAGCTGGTGGAGCTGAGAAGGCTGCAGCAGATGTGCTGAGCAGAAGACCTGGGCTGTCTTGTTCTGGAGCACACCCCAGGGGCTCTTTTTGAAGAGAATCATACTCCTGCTTGCCAGACACCTTCCTTTTAATGAAGGAGTTGCTCCACAGGACAGAGGCAGAGGTTACTCTGGTTCAGGCTCAGACTCAGGTCACCCTCTGGCAGCTGGAACGTGGCCCTCCAGCAATTCAGGAAACCTCTCCTGTGTCCATGCTAATCTCAAGGGCAGCACATTCCCATAGGAATGGGAGCAGCTGGCAGGAAAGCACATTCCTGGCACACTGTTCTCAAGTTCCAGGGAATGACCCCCAATCTTAAGCTCCAGGAGGTGTTGGGACAGGAGAGATCATTACCTGCTGTGCCCTGTGTATCTCTTCTCTAAGCCTATGAGGAAGAAAAGAGGTAAGCTAAAGGCCTCACTCAAGGAGCTCTGCTATGAAGGTGCCTATGGCTGCAGAGAGAGACTGAGGCAACAGATGGAAACAGGTATAAATAGCTAAAGACTTTTTCCTTGGAGGTAACCAGGCTCTGAGAAGATCAGCAAGTGTTATTGTCCGTGGCCTGAGATCAGCAAAGCAACACGGGTCTTGGTGCAGAGAGACTACAGCTTGGAGACCAAAAAGACACACTTTGGGGAGCTCTTGGAGGGAAGTTACCACAGCAATGGTCAATGTGTGGGCATCCTGGAAGAGATTCACAGTACTTTTTGAATAAAAACCCAACAGGAGTCAGCATTTATATTTGCTGGTGCTGATGAGCCTGGGATAGTGCAGTCTTGAGCACAATGATTCAGGTTCTCCTAACAGTTGGCGGCAGGTGGTTTTCAGACTTCAGGGCATTTGGTTTCTCCAGAGAAGAAAGATAGTGCATCCTCAGTATTGAAAATGTTAGTTATCAGTTGATGCCAGAGTTGCTCTTTGGAGGCTTACAATTTGTAAATCTATCAAGGGATTGGATGTTAATTTTCACCCACTGTTGTTGCATGCAGTGGTATCACTAGACTGCCAGTTAAGAACTTGAGTTTGGCCAGGGATTTAGCTCAGTGGTTTCACTGCCTGCCTTGAAATCACAAGGTTCCGAGTTTGATAACCAGTACCAAAAAAAAAAAAGAACTTGAGTTTTATGCTTAGCTTGTCCTTGATTCACCCCATCATTTGGACTTCCAGGTTTTCCTTTGCAATTAATTAGTGAGAGACACTTGGAAAATTTTGAAATCTCTAGTTTATTCTTTTTCAAAATATAACTAATAGGTGGAGAAGCTGAGCCCATCCCAGCACGCGGAAGAAAGCTCCCCCGCCGCCATCCCAGGCTCCTAGGGCAGAGAAGGTCAGCCAGTCCCAGTACCCGGAAGGAAGCTCTCCTGCTGCCATCCCATGCTCCTAGGACAGAGAAGGTGAGCTGCACAGGTGCCAGAAGCACCCTCCCCCCACCCGGTGGAAATGAGAAAACACATAAACAAGCCTCAAAAACAGGCTTTCAGATCACCTACAGCAACCCCAAAGGGAAATGAGATGGAACAATCTGATACTCAACCACCTGGACTCTCTGAACTGGCAACAAAAGAGGAT